CATCAGATACATTAAGAAACGTTAATGAGTCATTAATTTCTCGATTCAGAAAGTGTTCTGATGCAAATAGTCCACATTGAAYCTTTTTTGTAAATAATATGAAAGAGCATCAGATGATGCAATAAAAAATATATGATTCCATTTAAAAAAACATTAATGACCTTCATATGTATTTGATACGTCCACCTAAAAAAAAAAGTACCATCAGTATGAACCCCTTTTAAAGCCATTCAACTCCATGTTAAACATTGTCTGCTACGCGTAATAATGATAACGTAAATCTAGATGGTAAAATGTGGTGACCCACCCTGTATATTTCGCGGGTTTATTAAAAAATTCAATTGATAAGAATACAAATAAAAAAACGTAAATAATTTATCATCAATCGATTGAAATAATATCGTCATTGATAATGCATCGATATTTAATGATCTACTATTTGAATAATTCTCTTAAAATGTATGGGTAATATATTATAAAATATAATAGAAAAATTGAAATAAATCTACCTCTCTTTGTATCCTATTTATTTCAATCCACATATCCACCTTATATCCACAGTTGAAATATTTCCTAAAATGAAAAATATCAAACCAAAACTAAAAATTAAAAATCATTAATATGAAAAAATCTGTAAAAAGAAAAAATGAAAAATAACAAAAAGAGAAAAAGAGAGAGAGAAGAAAAACAGAGAGAATATTTTACAAAACAAATAAGTAAATCAATGTTAGGAGAGTGATTTACCGAAAAGAAAGAAAAAAAAAACATTGAATTGTTCGAAGTGAAAAATGTTCGTTCTCGAGAAAGAGAAAAACTAACGTTGCAAGTTACATACAACTTCAAAGGGAATAAACTCGAACGATAAAGTTCGAAAAAAGAAAAAGAGAAAAAAAAAAAAAGAAAGAAAATGGTCAAGGAGTTAGTTTGAGGAAGAACTAACAAAAGGTTTTTTGCAAAGAGCCCAGAACGAAAAACCCATTTTAGTTAGGAAAAAAAGGGTTTTCTTCTGTTTTTTTTTTGTTTAAAAAAAAAATCATCCCGAACAAACACAAATAGAATGATTCGTTAAAAACTATGAACATTTTGGAAAGTTAAGGAAATCATTTTCTTCCCACAAACCCCCGCTCCCCCCATCCCCAATTGTATTTCACTATCTATCATTCCTTCATATGAAATCACTTTTCTATTATTATATCAAACTGCATAACTAACTTTCTCTTTCTCTTTCACCGTATATCTGGAACATTCCTATCGGTTATTGATAACAGCATATTGTAAATTACCAGACACATGAGTTAACAGGAAATACGATTGTACTACTCTCTCGACGTATCGATTCTATCGAAATCGTTGATTGAACTTCGTACAGACTACTCGTCAAGAGTCATTTCAAAAACGAATATACGCGTATCTCAATTACACGGAATGATAGTCAGTCAACTCGTTAAATATCTATTTCGAGGATCGTTCATTAATTTTTACAAAGTTATGACCAAATAGCGTGGGTATCCTTTTTTAAAACGTTTAATATTTTCACACACACACACACATTAACAATGAAATAATTAATTTATCGGTCTTATTTTAAATTCTTTGAAATCATTTTGGATTCCTATTTTTTTTTTAGATTGTTTATAAGAGAAAAAACAAAATACGAACAAAATAATTCGAACTGTTCAAAGAAAAAGAATAAAATAAAATAAAATATGAACTGCAATCAATTATAGGGCCCTATATCCTTAGGAATATTATTCTTGAATAAGACAATGAGATATTATAGTTTTGATTAATAATACCTGTTCGTGCATTGGAAATATTCCACCAAGAATGATATCGCCATTAATCCTTATCAATTTGGAACCATCCTTGTTCCCATCCTTCCTTTGATAAGCTTCGTTCCTCGGGAAAAGGAAATAGAAGACCATCAACCATAAATTCCTTTGCATCAGGCTCATCATTTTCACCATCTCCAATTGTCTCGACTGAAAATGTAATTAACATTTTTCTTTATTTTTCTATTTTATATATATATATATTTTTTTATATTTATCTTTTCATTCTATATAAACTTACGTTCAGTGCTTTTAAAAGAGTACAAAGTTTACGCGAGAAACATTTCTAGCATGCTACAAATAAACTAGCTAAACACTTTGCAAACATTATCGTTTTTACGTTTACATATATATGTTTATATATTTGTGTGATTGTGTGTGTGTGTGTATTGGAATGTTTGCAACATGGATGGATGAACGTTCAAACCCTGTGTTTAAAGCTTTTATCAAAGTCCAGAAGAATTTGCTTTATCGAGATATATACTGGGTGAACTTAAAGTTTTTAAATCAAGCAAAATTTTTTCAACGAAATACAAAATTAATTAAATAATTTATTTTTTCCTAAAAAGAGTTATCTTACGTTTACAATCGGGCTTGTAATATTACAAATTAAGCTCATACAATATAAACAATTATCTCATATAGTTAGATTAAAAATTATACGAGGAATGGGGAGGGAGGAATTAAAAAAGAATTGATTTACAAAAATAATAAATTTGTAAAAATATTATAATCATATAAAAAAATTCGTAGATTTTTTTTATGGAATAAATGTAAGTTGAGTGTCACAAAGATAAAATAAAATCTGATGATCAAATACTACGAAAAAGATGTTCGACTAAAGTACTCGTTTCAATAAAAATATTGGAATTCGATATAACCAAGTAACGAAGGAAGAAGAAGTATACCAATGTTACAATGAATTCAGTCAGCCATTTCGTCTACTACTTTTTATACATCATCCTTTTATATAGAAAATGTGAACACATATGATTTCGATTATTAGATATAGATATGCGTACATCTATTTTCAAACTCGATTGAACGTATTCAAAGAACCGACTGTTTAGAAGCTCATTGATCGGAAATAATTTCACAATAAAAATGAACATTTATTTTATTGTACCGTACACTCGTAAACGCACGAATACACACGTGCATATAAAAATAAAATTCATCATAATTCGATTGATGCAATAAAGTGATTTTAAATTTAAAATGTTAATGTGATTTAATATATTATATTTATCGTTTTTATATTTTTTTAAAATTATGACTATATATATATATTCTTTTTTTTTTTTTTAATTTGTAACTTTATAATAATTTTTGCTTATCAACCAACCCAATATTAAACTATTTTACTTATAAATAAATCCTACAATTTTAATTTCTTATATATATAAAAAAAGAAAAGTATTTCCATTATATATTACGACGATAATCATAATCTATGTGTAACATATTTTTGAATAGTTAAAAAATGTAGTTTTAATTAAATACCCTGAATTCTATTTATAAGCTAATATAAAAATTGATATATATATATATATATATATATATATATATATATNNTATATATATATATATGTATACAAAAAGACAACAACGAAAATATCGATGAAGAGCTTTTCCTACTGTCAGTAATAAATAAAAAATAGAAAAAAGAAAGGTTTTAGAGGTAAAATACAAAACTTTTTGAAACTTCTCTTCACCTTCTTCACCGATTCTCTGTCTTTCTCTTAGTCTATACCAGGTGCTTTTAATTACTCACCAGGAAGAGATATTAAAGGAGAGAATAACTAGGGTGCTCTTTGTCGCTTCAGTGCTTTTAATCGGATCCTTTAAGCCAAGCCCTTCGATTAACGTAACGTTTCATGTGCAAAGTTTCTGTTCCGATGATGTACGGGAACGCATCGATCAATTTATTAGTCCTTGTTTTTAATTTTTTCCTTCCTACCTTCCTTCCTTCCTTCCTTCCCCTTTTTTTTCTTTCTTTCTCTCTTTTCTTTTAATATATTTTTTCTCTGTTTTCCTTTTATTTTTTTATTTTTTTTATTTAATTTTTATTTTGATTTCTATTCTCGATTGATCAATCAATCGACCGAAATCAAAATTTTTGCATAGACAAGTAATAACGAATTTTCGAAAAAATTTCAACTTTTCTGCGTGCTCAGCGAAACGAAAAACGAAACGTCCATTTTAAAAAAGCTTCCCGTTATGGTTTAAAATGAGTCAGCAGTAACGTTTTACCACTACCATGGAATAATACCTTTAACATTTTCAACAAAAAAATTATTATGAAAAATATGAAAGAAAGATTTTTTTCTTTTCTTTTTTTTTTCTTCTTTTTTTTTTAAAGAGAACAACTATTGTCATTTCATTTCATTCATACATATGTACATTTTTTTCGTATCATCTACTTTATTAATCCAATTTTCCAATTTCAATATCATACTATTGTATAATATTGATAGAAAAGTAAAAAAAAAAAAAAAATGAAATAAAATTGAAAATGTAAAATATTGATATAAAAATCTTGTCTAATAGTGCATATCAAAGTTTACTATAGATTTGTTTCAATTTATGAAAAAATTCGAGGTATGATAATATAAAATAAAAAAAAAAATAAATAAGAGGTTTCGAGTATTATCGAACGGTGAAAGGGGGGGGGAGTAAGGAAGGAAGGAAGGAAGGAAAAAAAGAAAGAAGAAGGGTAAAAAGAAAATGTTGAAGGAAAGTGAGGAAAAATATGAAAGATCAAGATATAAAAGTGAAATATAAAGATTAAGATGGTGAGCTTATATTGGCTAAAATTCAATCTGTTCGAGGCACAACTTTCCGTTCAATCGTTAATTGGATTTCTTCGGTGACTTTTGAACGAGCTGACTAGAATTTTCAATGGTGAGAAAGGAAAAAATAAAAAAAAAATAAAAGTTAAAGAGAGAGAGAGAGAGAGAGAGAGAGAGAAAGAAGTAGAATAATTATCATTCGGGCCAATTAAGAAGTAAGCCTTATATCTGTCTCTAACAGGTATCTATTTAAAAGAGAAACTAAAGATAATATGTATATACAGTGTATTTAAGAATTTTTTAATCTAACTATATAATAAAAGCTTTAAATAACCTGTTTATCGAAACATTTTTCTTCTTATTTTACATTCATAAAATCAAACGAACAAAAAACTCTGACACTGTTTGGCTAGAAAAAATCTTAAGAGACACCCTACATATTTATACACGTCAAGAATAAAATTTATTCTTGCGTAATATCTCTCATCCTTAATTTTCTGTAATTTTTCTTGTTTTTTCTTTTGCTACTTTTTCATAA